GGAGAATTAAAATCTCCTATCTGTAGTCTGAGTTTAGTTCGACCTAAAACTGGAAAAATGTCATGAATTTAAGAGTGTGAGCAATAACGATATGAGAAAAAAAAAAAGACAATTTCACTAAAAAGATTATATTTTCTGTATTATCTAAAATGAATTGTATATTTTTTATGTGCAGTTTTTATTTTCATTGAAATTTGTGTGCAGGACCATTCTTAGATAGAGGTATTAACACCAGAGTAAAATTGAACATGTCCAAAAATTGGATGTTGAAATTCTCTTCACTGTCTCTTACCTGGTCTAGCCATATTGGCAGGCGTAGTCTATTACTTCTTGAACTGTAAGACCAGCATCGAGCATAGAAACTGAAAATTCATAAATATATGAGTATGAATTTCTTTCTTTCTTTGTAAAGTTTGTTCAATTGCTCACAAGCTATATTTTATAGTAAATGGTCTTCACAGCCACTCTAACAAGATGTATAATGAACCTCACCCTGGATATAAAACAAATATGGTGTGAGTGGTTTCACTATAGCCATTTTAGAGGTTCTGGCAATATTTTGGTAATACAGTAACTGTACCTGTTACATTGTCCTTGGTGCACTTACTGACATGGATCACTTATAAAAACAAAATATTGAGGTAACATTGCTGTATAATGGTATAAATAACTGTCTGAATAGACCATGCATGCTGATGATAGTATTAATATTTTTGTCATCATTCACATACTGAGGAAGTGCTTTATTTTATTTCTAGAAAATTGCTAAGGCCTAATAATATTGCAGGAATGTTACCAAATTTTACTAGTACTGTATTATCAATTTCCTCCCGGAAGCCAGTGCCAATTAACCGGTATCACCATCCGCAGCAAAAATATAATTAAGCCTAGGCCTAGCCTAGGTATTAAGAAAAGCTCATCATTTAAAATAAACAGATCTCCCAGATCTGGATTCTTGGGATCCCAGAGCCTATCAGCCTGATGCACTGTCCGTGTCATTGACATTATTGTATTGTAAATTTGAGATTATCAGGTCTAAGTCAAACAAATTATGGAGGTAATACTATACCTAGGCTAGATGTCATTATGGTCAAATAAATAAATTAATAAATTAATTTAGTTTAGTTAAAAACTGTTATACCTGGCCTGGCCAAGCCAACAAAAGAAGAAGTTACGAGTCGCTGCCCATAATTATTATAATAAATAGGGCTTAGGCCTAGGGGCCTAGGGGCCTAGGCCCTACTAAAAAATTAAAAGATAAAAATTACAATCAGTAGTAGGCTGAGGGCTAGGCAATGCCGGCGCAAATGCCCAAGCTCAAGGATAAGCCTAGCCCTAGGCCTATAGACTGGCGCTGCTTATTATGTTAGGCCAAACAAGGCCTAGAAAAGCATATTTAGCTAGGCTAGTAGTCTAGCGTAGGTATCTAGCTAAATCAAGCTAGCTCCGTCGCCGCCTGCCTAGCCTTCTTGCTCTTCCATGACTGAAGAATAAATACACTCTAAATAATATGATATGTACTTGGGTATAATTCAAAAACACAATAAAATTATTACCTTGAATAGATTACAAATAAACCGATCAAACGTTGTCTTGATTTAAATATTAAAACCAGGTCTCCTTAGAAATTAATTTCATTAAACCTAGGCCAACGACTTCAGAGAAATCACAGAGCATTCACAACATTGGCATGCAGCACCACCAATAGCGTAACGTAGGGGTCCGATGGTACGGTACTTCTGAAGTTGTAAATGTCGCCATCTATAGTATCAAATTATTTTATTTAATTTTTTTTTTGAATGGCGTGTCAATTCTCGTTATATTTTATATCAGAATAATTATTGCTCTTGAAAAAAAATAGATACCTAAATGGTACATGTGGCTACTGAGCTCATAATAAGAAATACTGGTGTGGCGCTTTTCATGCACGTTCCCATGTTACATATCTCGCATTCCTGTAATACAGTAGGCCTATCATAGGTCCAATGTCGTAGTAAATTAACACTTTAATAAAAAAAAAAAAAAAAAAAAAAAATACTTGTGTATTCATTGTATTATTTATTCATCTTAACACTGTATACATTGTATTTAAAATCCAAAATCTTTAGTTACACAAAAGGTAATAATATACTCTTAAGAGCCACGACGCGGTGCTTTTTTGAGCATTTAGGGTAATTAAAAACTACTGAATCCACGATTTTGTAACAAGATAGCAATGAAGGCTTTTATTTTAGTTATAAGTCGGTTTATTACAGAAAACGTATTTTTAAAAACTTGTTATCACTTGCAAATTGACATTTTATTGAACATTTCAAACATTTTTGCCTGCAATCTGGATGTTTAATTTTGTGAATGAAAATTTTCCAAATAGTTGTCTGTACTGAACACGATGGATCAATCAGCATACATTGTGTAATATTTTTAGCCCATTTCTTGTGTTGAACTTTTTGGTTCCTGAAAGCTGTATAACCTTAGCTTTTATGGTTACGAGTTAGTTGCTTACACTCGAATTCAAAGAATGTTTTGGGTTGATAAATTCCTAAATTTGGAATGGTATCTCTTCCAACTGCTTTATTTTAATGTTTGAGTTTATAAGAATATTGGTCCCAAAATACCTCAACTTCACTGGACTTTGGTTTTCAATAGTTCTGGAATTCAGCA